TTCTTCATTTCACTTCATCGTTCACATACTATCCACACAGACACTCATCACACTCGACCTCGATCAGAATCAAATCGGCGATCAAGGTGCACAAGATCTTGCTAATGCTCTAAAAGTCAACAAAGTAACAATAATACTTGTTCTTCTTCTTCTTCGTCTTTACTGCACCTCATTATTCTCACACTTTTCACGCAGACACTCACCACACTCAACCTCAGCGGCAATGGAATCAATGATGACGGAGCACAAGATCTTGCCAATACTCTACTAATCAACAAAGTAACAACAATACTTACTCTTCTTTTTCTTCAATTTATTTCATTATCTATACACTTTTCCCATAGACACTGGCCGCAATCAACCTCGAATACAATTTGATCGGTGATCAAGGAGCAGAAGATCTCGCCAATGCTCTGCAGATCAACAAAGTAACAACAGTATTTTTTCTTCTTCTTCTTCTTAATTTCACTTCATTATTCACATAGACGCTCACGACACTCGGGCTCGGTGGCAATCAAATCGATGTAGACGGAAAGAAACAACTTCGGAAAATATGTGAGAAAGATATAGAACTGAAAATAACTTATTGGTGAAAATTATTACTAATGGTGGCAACCACAACAAGAAAGCTTTTACTTTTAATTTTTGCAAGATTTTATATCGATTTAACAAATATATGTGATATCTTATAGCAATAATTTTTTTTTTCTTGTGTCCACAGTTTGGAGAGAGTTCAGAGTTGTGGCGATTGTTGTAAGTGTAGCAAGTAAAGCTCGATCGAAAGTATCATTTTTGCTGCGATGTTACTTGAATCACTGATTGGTGGCTGTCTAGTAGTAGTTTCTTAACAGGGAGGAATGAGAAAAAGGAAATTTATGAACTACTGTGTGTGTGTTTTTACCGTAGGGTTTTAACAATAAAGGCATTTCTACATTTAGAAATTGATAGTGATTATATCTAAAGGAAGAAATAGCCATGACTTTGTTCACCGAATGCATCTGAGTTTGTTTTCCTAGGATTAGTTTCATTTTAAGTACTAGCAAAACATTAGAGAGACGAAAGCAGCTCGAAACGTGCAAGGTTGCAGTACGTTAGTGACAAGTTGTCAGCATATCGGTGCCTGTTTATACGAAATGAAGACCTCTCATGCAATATTTTATGTATGAAAAATTAATTAGCTATCACAACTTCTGAAGATTTTAAATTCTATACATCTAATTTTATCGATCTATTTAGTTTTTGAGCAACTGGACTTTTGTATCCTTTCGATATTGACGGGTAGAGTTTTGTACCGCAATATTTTGGAAAGTATACATTGGATTCTGTTTAATGTTCTGGAGTTATTAATGACTCCTAGATAAATCTGTACATAAATTGTATAACTGAACTCTTGGTTTGAAGGGATATTATAAGAAAAGTAATATTTTCAGTACAAATTTAGGCAAACGAGTAAAACTCCTCATTCATATATCGTAAACATAGGCAAATACGAAGTTTTATTTTTTGAAGAATGATTTACTTTAAACTAAAATGAAGTAAGCAAACAGTTGAAAATGATAGATATATTCTCATCATGAGAATTGCAACTGAATTTCAGTAATCTAAAAGTGTATCTTCAACTAATCTTCATACCATGCAACTCTTAGTACTATAATCCCAATGAAGATGATTTTGATTTCTACTTTAAATAAAACTGAACATTCAATTCTCCATACAAAGAATACGACGGATATTTTAATACATCATTGATTATTATTGTACACATAATGAATTATTTTATCTTGGGTGAGTCTTACAATACTTTATATATATCACAGAGCTTTGATTTTTATAGGCTGAGATGTATATAGACAAACTGATGTGTTCTCTTTCTCTTTCAAATGAATAATACATGAATACCATAAATAATTCTCAATTCAGTAAAAATTTTAGTTTATCTGACTATACTTTAACTGAAGAAGAATTAGTAATATATATATCCATGAATATTTGGTTTTATTATGATACATTTAAAAAGAACTATGAGAATCCCTTTATAAGATTGAATGGTGATTTGTTTTCTGCAGTATCTTGTTTGAAATTGCTTAATCATGATGAAAAATATAAAAGTCAAAGTGTACTTGTGCATCTACGAGACTACTACTTCTTTTGAATATGACTTCTTCTGCTAAATCCGTCTCATACAAATTTCAAGGATTCGTTCTTCGTTAATTCTTCAATAAATTGCTATTGATAAATAATGAAGTAAAAGTTCTAATTGAATTTATTTTCAACAAACTAAATATTTATACATATCGCAGTTTTCTTAACTTTTTCTTCATCATAAAATGCCTCGTTCAACACTATACCAATTCAATTTCATGTAAGTTATTCTTGTTTAGATTGTTTTAATTCCAGATCACTATTTAAGATGATATGTTTTTTTTTCTTCTGTTTTTATTACAGGGAACACTCTCGTAAAGAATTATTATTTATAGAGTTGTTCACTGTACGCGCGCCTGAGATACTAGAAAATAAAATTAATTTACAAGTAATTGAACAAAATATTCTTTTATTTATTTATTTATCAACTATTCATTATAAGTTCTTTTTTTACAACCTCAATACGTTCTTTCACACTTTTGAGATGAGGATGAGTTGGAGGTAAGGCACTTTGCAGTATGTTCAGAGTACGTTCAAAATATGATAGTGCTTTGGAATAATCTTTCATATTTTGACATACAAAACCAATATTGTTGTACGAAGCAGCTAAATCAGGATGATTCGAAGGAAGAATTTTTTGTCGAATTTCAAGTGCTTTTTCGTGAGATGAAAGTGCTTTCGAGTACTCTCCCATCTTGGCACACGCCATACCGACGTTGTTATATGAAGTAGCCAAATCAGAATGATTTGAAGGAAGAGTTTTCTGTCGAATTTCAAGTGCTATTTCATGATATGGAAGTGCTTTCGAGTACTCTCCCGTCTTGGCATACACCAAGGCAATGTTGTCGTATGAAGTAGCCAATAAAGGATGATTTGAAAGAAAAGCTTTTTGTCGAATTTCCAGTGCTTTTCCGTGGTATGAAAGTGCTGTCGAGAACTCTCTCATGTTCTCATACACCAAGGCGATGTTGTTGTATGATGTAGATAGTAAAGGATGATTTGAAGGAAGAATGTTTTTGAGAATTTCAAGTACTTTTTCGTAAAATGATAATGCTTTTGAGTATCGTCTTATGTTGTTATACACATTACCGATTTTGTTGTATGAAGTAGCCAGTAAAGGGTGATTTGAAGGAAGAGTTCTTTGTCGAATTTCAAGTCCTTGCTCGTAATACCAAATAGTCTTTTCATAATCACCTTCTTCATTTTTGGCATATCCCAGCTGATTATAATAATGCACTTTTTCATCGTCATCAGATGTGTGTTCCAGTAATACGTTATAAAGTTCTTCAGCTTCATTAAATTGACCAAGTTGAAGCAATAAGTTACCCAACTTTTTCCATCCGGTACTGCCACCAGCTTCTTCTCGTATCCGATCTGTAAGTAATCGTAGTTGATGATCATCATCTGATATTAATTCTAATTCAACTTGATAAAGTTGATTCTTATTGTCCATTTGTTTAATTGCACTCACTCGAAACACGGTGTGCATTGAGAAAAGAATTTCGTCTTCTTTCTTAATAAAACTCTCCTCTTCGATAGAGGCAAATGGTGCTGATTTAACAGAAGGATCAATGGACATTATAAAGAGAATGCCCACCATGTCAGGTTTTGATGAAGCACGTTGAGCGAATTCGAGGTGCACATCTTTAGTTTTATTGGTGGATAAGAAATTGTTAAATGACATGAATCCACCTATCGTTTTTTGAAGTTTTTCAAAGTCTGATTGCATAAGACCTTGTCCTCGATAAACTACAAAAGATTTTCCATCATAAGCACTGATCTGTTGTTCATACAACCGTTGAATCTGTTGATGCACGTCACGTAGAAAGAAACCCATGTTAATGATCATATCGACATCCAAAATTCGAAGTGCTTGATTGAGCATTTTGTAAGTAAAACATTCGCGTGTATACCACCATATTGCTTGTTGTGGATCATAGTCACGTTCAAATTCATTAATCACTTGTAATTCAGTTGGATTATCACCAAAAACTTCGCGGGAACAAGCTGCTAAGTCACTGATTGCCTTGCGATCACATTCGATATCAAGGAGGATTTCCTTGAATGTCAGTGTATAGATAAACGTTGGGTCCAACTGATTTACATTATCAGTTGAAGCCATTTCATGTACCGTGAGAAAGCTGACGGCAGTCGAATCCTGGTCGCATTGCTTAACAGCCACTTGTAATGCTTGACATATTTCTTTGATATTTGTATGGACACCTTTGATTTTTGTCCAGTGTTGTGTCCATTCTTCATGTCTGGATTTATTATCACAGAAGATGTAAATTGAATCTAACCGGGGAATGTCATGAATTTCAGGAACCAAATGTTTGCCTAATGGGCTTGATATTATCACGAAGACTTGTTCCTTATCAACCTTGTTAAGTACTGGGATGCACTGATTCGGTTCAGTACATAACTTGACATCATTGACCACATTCTTCAATTGAGTGAGTGTATCTTGGCAATCCTTTTCTCCCTCGTCGATGTTCGCATCTACCCAGATGAGAAGGTAATTTTGTGCCATACGTTGTTGTAGTTGTTGAATATTTGATGATGCACCAGCATTTTGATTCGATTTTAATCCGCTCATTCTGATCTTGTCGTAATTTGTTGTTGAATGTGAACTTGTCAGTAGATATTGTTGTTTGAATGAAAAAAAGATCACCGCTCTTTTTTATATAGATAGTGATTGATTTTTTTCTCAATTTTTTAACGACTTTGAATGTGTGTGTTTTTTTCTTGCCACTCAAGGACTAACTTCACATGGTTACTTTTGAAAATAATATCGTACAGAGTAGAAAAACAGATCAAAGGAAACAAATTCATCGATGCGAAACTAGCACGACGGCCAATTATATTTTATTATTTTATTTTTATGGTTAAATATAGAATCTATGATCTTTTTTTACTTGCAAACTGAATTTTGGTAAAAAAATCAATATTTTCTATGAAACTTGTGAGTTGTGCGGGTATTAATAAAACTAGTCGCCTCCTCCATGATAATGATATGACAATCTTCAGTTATTCAACACTGTGCTCACCATCATGTTTATTTTTACTTATAAATGCTTTGCTTCGCATCGCATTAAAAATTGATATAGTAGTGTAATCATATGCATGCATCTTTACAACTAATATTATCAAACTTCCTAGCTGATTTATACATATAATAATACAGATACGATAACAATCAAATAATCAAAGTTAATTTTGTTATACAAAATACTTCGTTTTTCTCGTTAATCCATCTTTCTGCAATCTATATATATCTGTGCTGAAAATTTCATATAATAGACACAATGATTAATATAATTCAAGTAATGTTCAATAGTACTTCAGTTAATCTTCAACATAATTAAATATGATTATACTTAGCTAGTGATACATATATAGAGCACTCGATAATTTATTGATCATAAGAGATCCGATACTATAAACAAAAACAGAAAAAATATTTCATATATGATATTGATTTCTTTTTTTATTTTTTAGAATATAATAAAGATGCACACAATGGACGATCACTTCTTTGACACAGATATATATATATATATATACATGTATATACACATAAGCGTATAAAATTAAATGAAGAGTTTGAAATGTTTGATTATCATGAAAAAACAAATTTCATCTCGTGTTCCAATTATATCATGAATTAGATGTTAAATCAGTTAAACCATAAGGTTTAGTAGTAGTTTTTCCTGAACTTGTATGTTCACTACATGAATTAAGTAATGGTGTTGTTTGATCATATTGTTGATTTCTCATATTTTCAACAAATGAAACAAGTTCGGAATTATTATTATGTTTCACAGTTGTTGTTGGTGAGTCAAGAAACATAACTGAAGTTGTTTGTGTAATTGAACTAGCTCGTGGTCCAAGAGATTGACGTTGATAAGAAGTTAAATAATGGTCATCTTGTTCATCATTCATCAAGATTGAATTATGACGTAATTGATGATTTTGATTTGTCAATGGTATTTCTGATGATGAATAAGCACTACAAATACTTTGACGATAAGTACAAATATCCGATAAATTTGATGTTCGTTTTGGTGCAACTAATATTCTTGTATGACGTTTACCATTTGAATAAAAATGTTCATGTACACCTTGTGATGGACCATGAAGTAACATTAATTTTTTTGCACGTTTTGTTAAACGTTGAGATGATGTTGATGAAGAAAAAAATAAGAAATTATGACAACTAAATAAACGACGAAGTTCATGACGAAATACTCGACCAGTGAATGCATATAAGAAAAAATTTGAAGCTAAAATAAAATAAAAATTTTCTTTTTTTTCGTTGGATTTATTTATGCTATTAAACATACAATGATTTATATATTGAGATATTTCAGCTATAATTTTTCCTATTGCAATTCCTGCATTCATTGTTGATGAACGTTGTTCAACATCAGAATAAATCGCATCAATTAATTGCATTATTGATATTGGCATTGAACAAATACAAAATGCAAATGACACAGCTAATAACATTGTTGTTAAACGACGATTAACTCGTCGACATGCTAAAGTTTTTGTTGATGTATATTGTTGTTGTTGTTGATAAGGATTTGATGAACGTAATAGATTATATTTCTTTTTCTTTATTAATGTATTAGGATTATTATTTGTTGTTGATGTTGATGAAAATGCTATTGAATAATTTGTTGTATGATGATTGGAACTATTTTCATTCGAAATTTCTTGTTGCAGATATTTATTTGCATTACGTGCATTTAATAAACTTTTTATAATTAATATATTAAGTGTTATTAAAAGTGTAAATGGACAAAATGAATATTTAAATGAATCAATCCATGTAAAATATCTTATGAATAATGATTGAGTATTTAATGGTATACAATGAAGTACAGTTGGTGATAAATGAAATGTCCATAAGAAATGAGCGTTTAATAAGAAAAATATTGTAAATACAAGTAATAACATATAACGTGCACGTTTTATAGTACAAAGTTGACTAGCACGTAAAGGTTGAGAAACAGCAATATATCGTTCGAAGGTCATTGCAACTGTTATCCAAACGCTATTAATAGAAAAAAAGAATATTTTATTGTTTAGTATGATCTAACAACAACAAAATAACAACAACAACTTAACGATTTATATGTTTAATAAAAATGGTAATCCTTAACATTATTTAGGAAAAACACTATTATATTTCTTGATTTTCAACGGAAGGATTAACTAACATATTTACTCAACTGAAGTCGAACATGATTTTTATAAAGATAAACTAAAAAAAACTCTGTCACCGCTAGTTATGACATATATCCTCCTCTTGTAGATATGAGTAAAAATAAATATAATCAAATCTATAAATTACTTACCTACAATCAGCAAAAAAGAAAAATGCAAATGTGCCTAATTTACAGCACATATTACAAGCTAAAATTGGTCTTTGTTTATCTAATAATTCTAACCATCGATTTAAACAACCAATCCATAGAACAAATGTATCAGCAATAGCCAATGTTGCCATATAGAAACATGATGATGAATGTCGCATACGTCCTCGTCTCATAACAGCAAATGTTAGTGTATTACAAGTAGTACCAATTAATAATAAACATGGAAGAATAAATTCTTCACTACGTGAAGCAAATTGAACAAAGCGATTTTCAGAAATCAGATCAGAAGTTGGTGTTATCGTTGTACTGTTCATTCTTATTCGTTGTATTAATAATAAAATTATATTTACATCTTAATAACTAAAATATATACATATATATAAAGTGACAAAGCGAGAAAGTTATATGTGTAAATCGAGATATAATATATATATATGACGTTAAAATGATGATGATCATCATCATACGATCGATATCTTCCGCATTCGAATGCATTGTTCGAGAGGTGGTTGTCATCAATGAAGGTCTTCTATCGTGTACATACTTACACATAGTCGAGGGCAGCCTTTTTACGATACATTCATATAAGAGGTTAGAGGTTAGAATAAGCATATCAGAAGTTGGATCTCTACTTAATATATTTACTCAAGGAGGCATTCTATTCCTTTGAAGAAGACCTTTCAAAAAAAACACCGCTAGTTAAAACGAAAAGACTACACGAGCGTAATTTCATCTTGTTTAATAATCACGAGACGATAAGAAATATCCTAGATATTCTCCTTTCAACATATATGTATATAAATATATATATATATCTATAATAAGAAAAAATTTTTTTCTGCCTACATATATATATATATATATATAGTGTACATTTAGAGAAAAAAACCTTACGAATACTAGTAGTAATGAACTGTGACTCACCTTATTTTTAATCAACAATAGCCTTCTTTCTTTACATCAACTTGAAACTACATTGAATTACTAATATAATTAAATCAACATGCGTAGATAGAAAATAAATGTAAAAGTTTCATTCCAGATATTTCTAATGATTTTTTTCTTCTTCTTTTCTCACGGTTTATACTGTTGTTGTGTAGGGATAAAAAAATTTTTTAACCTTGCTTTTCTATAAATACAATGTTTAATAACTCAACTTATTCTACCTCATCATTGTTTCTCAAGTGTCAACAGATGCTGTCAAAAACACAAGTTAGAAAAAAAGGAAATTGTAAGAAAAGATTTATACACACTAGTTGTCATCAACAAAAAATATTTATAATAAAAAGATCCTTATTATGTCTTATGAATGCCTACAGTTTATTATTTCATATATATATATAAAAAGATTTTAATTAATAGTATGTACTAGGATAAAGAAAAAAAAGAAGATATTAGAGAATCTACTTAAACCTAAACAAATGTGACTTTATACAATTGATATTATAGATTCTATCATTGGACAAGTTAACCTTTGTAAAGTTCGTCCAACAATGATATCAAACGTCATGGTCATTCTTAACTTCATCATAAAAGAAAGAAAAAGAAGAGAGAAAAAAAAAAAGAAAAAATGATTTGATTTTTTTCTTTGAGTAAGCGCGGTAAGGAAGGAGATACATGGCCCTAGTAATAGATCAAACTACCACCAAAAATCAAATTATGATTTGATGGTCGTTCCGCGTACATTCATATACATAGAGTCCAATTACTCTCATTCATTTATTCATTCTTTTTTTTCCCTCATCGGCATATCTACTCCGGCGAACTGTGTATAGTCGGAAAACTGTTTCGCTATCCACATTACGCAACTAGACAAGCGCATCTTCTGTCCCTTTCTCTCCCTCTGTCTCTCTCTCTCTATGTCTTTCGCTCAATCCATTAGAATTCCTGCTTTCTCTCTCGTCTTTAATATGCATACTTCCATTTTCTTTTCTTTTGTCGGATGAATGGGCGTCTCATTTGTCTTTATAATACAGAATAAGTCGATGTACTCATCATCACTCGAAAGAATAAATGACAATGAAGAGATCAAAAAAATGTATCGAAAATCTACTCAAGATTATATATATATATATATATATGATTGCACAAGAGCTCATCATTTTCTCATAGTTGACTGAATAAACAAATGTGAAATCAGTGAAACTTATACTAAGATACTCATTTATCAATCATCACCTTTCCTAATTATACAAACTTCCATAGTCTGTAGATCGATTGACAACGATCAATGCCAGACATGATATTATATACATGTGCTATTGAGACAATTTTTATATAAATTATCCTATTTCATCGTGTCTACGACAACTAGAGGTGTATATTTTGGATAAACAGACGAGGTCGTATTTATTAAGATAAAGAAAAAAAATATCAATTACGTTAGTGTGTGCCTACGAGCCAATACAGACATGACACAAGTCAGTAAATGAAGAGGGAGTATAGAGAATGCTGGTGGTACTGAATAATCGATAATAAACTAACGATTATTAATTTATATTTACATATATATATATATCGTAATGTATATTCCAACAAAACTAAGCGAATCAAGACGTCGTCCATAGATAAAGAAAAATAACTGGGAAAAAAAGATATCTTCTTGTTTTTCAACAAAACATAGAAAACGATATATTTGATTATAATCATCATTTTTGAATATTGAACAGACTAATAATAAATTAGAAATATTTTCTTTGTTTTATCGATAAACAACTGAATTGTACTACATTAAATAAAAATAAAAAGAATCAAATTAATATTTAATGTCAATATTTATTTAATTAACATTAGTTTTTTTCTCGGGAATTCGATAGTAAGGAGAATCTCTTATTTATTATTTCAGATATTTTATAAAGACCAAAAAAAAATTCTTCTTTTTCGTTTCTTTATGATATATGTAAAGGAAGTGATTGATACATGTATATATACATGTATGTACATGCTTTTTGTGTCAATGACAGACGTCAAGGTTGTTGTGCTCATCGACCAACTCCGATATAGATGAATGGGCGGACATATAAGACAAAGAAAAGAAAGATGATGTTGAACAGACTACAATGTCTTCAATAAACATATGTTCGAATATATAGTGGTATTAAATTGCATCATCACTATAGAGTGTGTACAACATGGTTGCTATCATCTATTCATTTAATGATCCGTTATAATATACTCAATTATACGGATACCATGTATTAAGGCTAGTCGGCATGGTGTTCAAGAATTTCTTTTGTCTACTCGATCTAGACAATCAAATATATATATATATATGATTACAAACACAATATAATATTGATTGAACAAAAGATAGGCGAGCGAAATGTATTTATAAGATGTTTTAAACTATACTTTACAGTAAAATGCATAAATTATTTTAAAAAATAAATCTCTACTATTAAATAAGATCTAGTCTACCATATTTATGATTATCGTTAAGTTATATACAACAAAAAGTTAATTATAAAATGTTCATTGCTTGAAATTATTTTTAAATCTAAAAATTTTTGTTTTCTTTTTATTACGTTAAGTAAAATCTTAAATTGATAGTATCTATGAAAAATATTTCTATATATTGTATTGCTATTTAACGACCTTGAAGATGAGAAAAGAATCTAAGAAAAATGAGAACAAGATGTTGATCATTTAAATATGTATGATAATGTAATATAATAAATGAAATTTGATAATAACATTCTATCGGACAAGTTCGACATATTTTCTATATTTAATGCATATTCACAAAACATAACCGACCTTGATCGGTTGACTAGGTCAATATCGTTGTTATTTTAAAAGGTTATTGTAAATATAATGATTGCATTGACTTTCTTTATGAATACAATCATAATTTATTACAATTAATTTCATCGTTAACCTCGTACACTTTATCAAATAGCCAGACAGACCCTGACAGGGTCAAATTATCATATCTAAACATTGCACTTTCTTTTTTAGCAACTATTTATTTAGTATCTATAGACAAGATATTTATGTCAACGTATATTTTATTTCTATTATTTATATTAGATGAGAATTTATCGAAAAAAAAACGATTACAAGGAGATGAAAATGTATTATATCTCATTTCAATCTTTTTTTTCCATGATAATTTTTTAAAACAGAACATGCATAAATTCAAACGCTTTTTCGTTAGAAAGAAAAAGAATCATTACATGTTATTGAATTATAAAATCCATGTAGATTTAATTCATTTCTATTGATTTATTATTTTTATTTTTTCTAATATTCTCTATATATTATTCAAAAATCGAATGTATTTGAAAATATATACTTAAAAATTACTATGAAATTTTAATACATCTACTAAAAAATCATCGTAAGTGAATGTATTCTATTGTGATTTCTAGGAAATATTTTATAAAAGTTTAATAGCAAGTACATTGAATAGAATTCTTCATTATCTATTCAAACCATTGGTTCGATTTTAAATATATATTTGAGATTGCAGAAAAGTATCACATATACATTAGTCGGTGGCACGACAGTTGGGTCCCTATACGGAATCTTTCGATAGTATCAATGGTCAGCTATTCTTAGTAAAACAAATAATTTTCCGAAATATATTTCGTTCATTTATGTAATCGATACAATTGCTTGTGTACTTATCTGTCATCCTTATTACAAAATGTCAGTTGTAAAAACCTCCAGAACACTTACACTTTCCCTAGTATCTTCTTTTCATTTGTTTACAAGAGAAATGTATTTTAAAAGAGCACGCGTTCTGTTTAATTTTTGATGTTAATGTTATTCTGGTGAAGTAAAACTACTTTATTGTGTTCTCTAATTTCTTCTGTATATCTGGGGCTCAATTGTCTAGGGGCTCAGTTGTCGAGGGCTTAACTGTCGGTGTACCATATTAGTCTTATAATTTAGAATATTATTGTATGGTAGAAAATTGTAAAAGATAATAGTTCGATATCATGCAATCATTTTTTGTTTTGCGATGTGTATTTCTTCCTTTAACTATCTTGTTCTCTCATAACAAAGTACGTTTCAATTTCCTTTCGTCTGTTCATATGATCCACTACTCTGTCTTTCATTTTCTCATTATACTTTCCAACCTTTTGTCTGATTGTTTCTCTATCATTATTATATTTATTATAAATACAGATGAATGAGACGTATATAATCGTTTCTTTTATTCATCATAGAAAAGCATTTAAGATAATGACGAACATACGTCACCATCATAAAACGTCATCATCATAAAGAACTTTCAATGAAAATGAAGGTTCAAATTTCTTTTTTAACTGTTTAGTTAGCACTGTTTCTTTAGATGTCTCGAATAATGAACTCTTATAACAGTCGAATGATTATGACTCAATTTATAATGGAATGCAAATATTAATAAAACGGTAATAATCATAACGTTTATAATATAAATATATTGGATTTGTAAAATATAGTGTTAATACATTTTAATCAGGTTAATTAAATTTAAGGTCTTAAAAGGATAAGATTTTTATTCAAAATTCAGCTATATTTCGATGATACGTTTTTTTCTGAAGAAAAATCAAAACTTTGATTCGCATAATATATTGTAGACAGAGTTGATAATAGAATTAATCTTGTTTTGATTGTTCTGTACAAATTATTCTTCGAGGAAGTTTATTCATCGATATTTTCATCTGTTTGAGAGAAACTCTGATCATGATAATAATAATAGAAAAATAAGGTAAAAACTATGCATTTTTCCAATGAGTACTATATTCATTAAAATTTATGGCAGTTCTTTTTTTTTCAAATACCGTTTAATAATTAAAAACAACAAACAGCAGGAACTCCACATATTTTCAACACTACATAATAACTAATCTTTTTCACAAACACTTACTAGAAAGTTAAGTTGAAATCACAACCTAAACAAATTTTTAAAAGTTCTTCGATATCAATAAAATATAATGTGAAAAGAGATGGTATAACGAAAGTATCTTTCAAAAACTGAAGGTTTTAAACTCAGAGCTGGGCGAGTACGGACTTTCCCGAGTACGAGTGCGTGTACGAGTATCAAGCCCCCTCGAGTACGAGTACGAGTACGAGTACGAGTACCAGCAAAATCGTACTTGAGTACGAGTACTTCGAGTACTTTGCCCAGCTCTGTTTAAACTAGATGCCATTTATATAATTACTTTGTTTTATTTACGATTAGTAACTGCAGTATTTTTGAATACCCATCTATTATAATATTTCAATTTTCTTTTTGGCAAAATAAGAGAAAACAGAAGGTGCCACGCCTCCTAAGAAACAAAACAAACCCTTTTCATTTCTATGATAAAATATTTTTATTTTTACATACAACCAGAACAGCTGTTCGTTATGTTCTTTGTAAAAATAAAATAAAAGATGTATGACTTCGTAGAGCATCATTATAAAAGGTAAATCGATATATATGAAGAGTAATATAATACATTGTTTTAATTTCATTCATTTACCGTTAATAAAATAATAGGTAAGAGAAATTCTCAAGTGTAATTATATGCTGAGCATCATATTTTTCATATATAGAAAATATATGATATACTCTATAATTAAGAATTCTACTTATAGACAATTTTTTAATAGTCACCTCCTTTTCTTACACTTTATTTCTTTGAATTTCATGGAAAATAGCGTAAAAGGAAATGATAAATTCGAAGAACTTTAATAATGAAAGTGTAAATATAGAGATTAACAAACTAAGAGTTAATAACAGAGAATAATTGCAGTCAAGTACTTAGGTATTAAAAATAAAGCTTTTAACCCTTATAGTCGCGACTTTTTTACTGAAAAATCCGAACTTTTTAATAATCCTTAGTTGTATACGAAGAAAGAACATCTGAGTCAAAAAAATGTTAGTAGTTTATCGTCTATAATAATCTGATTTAAAAGCTATTCATAATTTCTTGAAATTACGGCTATGAAAATGTGTAAGATCGATTATTGAAATTTTTAATAATTATTCCAGGAAGAACATTTTCGGTTCGTTCTTAACTTTATCTTTTAGTATTCAAATGATAGCTAGCTATAGAACGAGTGATACATGCTTAATCCAAACAAAAGAATTTAGATGTGTAATGTTAACAGGCAGAAAGAAAACGAAGAAGTATTGCACTTGTGATATCGCCTAATAAATGATAAAAAGATGTTCTAAACAATTCAAGAATGTCTTGTTATGCGGATCTTAATTTTGTCTTTTGAGCTCTTTTAGTAATAGAATTACTATGTCTAGCAGTTATTTTGCATTACTCTTTGATGTTGTTTCAGTAGCAGGGTGAGAGAACAAAGAGTACTGACCCTATCATTCTCACCCTTATAAATTCAATTCACATTCAATCAGTCTGCTAGATATTAAAAAATAAATTAAAAAAAAGGCAAATTATATATTCGACAAAGTACTTTTTCTTTCCGATATTTTTCATTTAATTTAGTCACATTAGTTTTTCAACTAATAGAAAAAGATTTTTATATTATAACAATATATAATTATACTTGATAATAAATATTAACTTATAAAAGTAGAAACAATTTCAAAATAGACCTTGAATGTAGATGTATGTATGTATTTGGAAAATAACGTCACCGGAAACGAAGGTCATGCCGATTCTCGGAAATATAATTGTAAGAAAAAACACGTACTCTTTTTTCTAATATTTTAATTTGTTGAAAACAAATCTTTTTTTCTTAAGTGCATATTCTAGTCTTTTTTATTTGAACTTCATTTTCTTCATAATTTTAATCATAACATGCTAATAAATATTTTATTTTTATTCGTAATGGGATATTTTAGATGAATAGGAAAAATAACGTATTGTCTATTCGTTTCCTATTTCTATTAAAAATATCCTTCGATTAAATCTAATTATCGAAATTATTTGTATTATAATTAATATTTTGTTTTTTTGTCAATCAATAGATAGATAGATAGATAGATTATTTATCGAAGACAATTTTCTCGTTCTTATCGCCATTTCATATTGTTCGCTTGTTGCAAGAATTAGTTCTCAATAATTGATGACAGTAACGAGTCTATATAAATTCTTGAGCGTGTGTTTTACTGATGTCTGTATTGATGACATGTCGAATGATAAAAACCTATCACATCTACTGTCATAGATGTATAATTTCTTTTTTGTAGTATTCATAAATGTTTCTTATCAATACAAATGCACATTCAGTATTATTCGGTGTTCAACTGCAGAATACATTATAGATTCAATTATTTCTTATTAAGTTCATCTATAGGAAGTTACACATCTTTGAAGCAGGAAGAGAAAATAACAAATAAGATTGAATAGAACTGAAAGATAGTCAATTTTTCTTTTATTATTCGATGTCACAACTCCATTTTTGACCTCATTGACTGCATGTCAAATACGTAATTCTTTTTATTTTTAATGATTGTACCGATGAGTATAGAGAAAGACATTTTCTTTTGCTTTTTAGATTTAGTTTAATCATTAATCAAACTCATCCAATGAAATGACATTATAGATCTATTTCTACAACAGGAAAAGTATAATATTATACATATAGCGTGTTTTATTTAGTCAATTGTTTCCGGGACATTGCATTTATACACGTATATTTCATAAAGAACGTGCTTTTAAATTGTTAGATTTATTAGTGTATATCATCTAATTTTTTCTTCTCGTTTTGTATCTCTATATTTAACTATCAATAGGGTGTTTATTGCACTATTATTAATTTCAGTTCATATGGGAATACAGAACAATAAAATATGATTAAAAAAGACAACACAACAATAAGAAAATTCATTCTTATTCAAAATCATCTAAAAGACATACTCATCAACGAGGAAAAATACAGATTCCCTGTGTTCAATACATCCTTTCTGTTTTTTAGTTAGTTTCATATTAATATGATCTCTTATTTCCTATTTGCTTTTCATGAGGAAGTAGAAAAAACAATTTTTCTTCTTCTCTCTCTCTTCTGAAGCCATTCTCGTTTTTTTTGTGTCTAGAGATAGCACATACTTAATATGCAATAGCAGTAAATATGTTTCTTCAAAAAAGTTTGTAAGTATCCGATTTGCTTTTATAAATCAATACGTTTTTATTATTGACAAAATAACAAAAACATTACAATTTAGCTTTAAAGAAAATATGCATATCATGTTTTTGGTAATAGGACAAAAACTGTAATATTTTATTTAATGACTTTATAGATTAGATATATAATAGGCTTTATTAAGAACAAGTAAATTTTTTCTTCATAGAATAACAAAACTGTCTATATGACGTTTAACTTGTCATAGTTTTCATTTAAACGATAAATTAACAGCATATTAAACCATTTTCTTTTTGTTTTTCCGTATATCTATAAAAACTGACACATGTCCTTTTATTCTTTATTATATTATCTATTGGCATGTTATCCATCAATTTAATTTGATTTTCTTTTTTTATGTGTATAACCATGCCATTGTAATTTAGTGGAAAAAAAAGGAGACAAATATTTATCTGATAAGAAAGTAAAGTAGAAAAGAAAAAGATAATAGTTCTTACAAAAACCTACATATACATCTTCCGCATAAAAATCGGATATCCTGTTATTTTCATTCAGTTCAAAAGACTTAATTGTATGTATGTCATTATCTTATCTTGTGATTTTATAATAGCAATAAAAAAAGATTTGAGGTGAATTGATATAGAAAAAAAAGTGTAAAGGTACAAAACATTATTTTCTTAATAATATATAAAAAAATATCAAAAGACGAAGAGATATATTTTATTATGCTTGACTGCGAAGAGTTATTTCTTAGAGTTCATTGTGTTGAGAAATTAGTGACTTTTTTTATTATAGAAAATTCTTTTTGATAGTGATAATTTTCATATATATTTTCCTTTAAGATGAATATTTACCGTCCTACTTTCTTTTTAGATGATATAAAGAAAAACAATATAGAAATTAAATCCATATGAATAATGAAACAGACAGTCCTGCCTTATTGGCATTTATTTCTCGTATTGAAATTGTAACATTACCAATATTAATCATCTTTGGTAGTATATGTAATATTACAACGTTCATTGTGATGCGTCGAAGACGTATGCGTGTATCATCAACTTGTTTTTATATGGCAGCATTAGCTGTTACGGATACACTTGTTTTATGGACAGGTTGTCTTAATCAATGGTTTTATCTTATTCAAATTCCAACTGTTGTTGCTAATTCAAATTTTACTTGTAAATTAGTTTCATTTTTATTTGTTTTTTTTGCTGATGCAAGGTAAAATTATTTAACAAAATAATTACAATCTTTTTTTATTGTTATGTAGCGTATGGATTATTGTATGTATGTCATTTGAACGTTATTTTGCTGTTTCACATCCGCTACGTGCATCACAAATGTGTACAACAAAACGAGCGAAATGGGTAAGAAATAATTCTATATCTAAAGTAAAAATCTTCTTATTACCCTTATCAATATTAATATAAATGATTCAATGACCTTTGTAGTTCTTAGAATAAATGGAAAACAAACAAAATAAATATATTTTATTTACATAAAGTATTCATTTCAAATACATTCTAAAAATAGATAGAACATAATATTTATGAATGATCCTAATTAACATTAGAAATAATTCTAATGTTATATTTTGTTTTCAAAGTATAGAGTATCATAGAGTAGTTATATTCAGCTTTCTTATTAATTATGAAACTTTTGTTATAATAAGAAAAATAGAGAGTCTATCCGATGAAAGTATACAAAGGCAAATCAGTTTATCTATTAATGCATGGGTAATCTGGATGGACTTATCCTATAGAAAAAAAAACAATCGATATAATGAAAATTATTATTTGAGTATGGTTTTTAATCTAAAGAGACAAGTCATATAAGCTATATGCCCATTCTGATTGTTAACAATAAATTCCTAGTGTATCTTGTATCCAGAAAAACAATGTGATAGTAATGAAATGAAGAACTAAAAGAATTATTAGATAGAAATGGCATAGATCAAAGTTACAGTAGTTTTCTGGAACAATAAAAACTGATTCAAATAGATAAGTCATGTGAATATTCTCTATACCTTTTTACTTTTATTTCCGGTACTATACGATTATACATGCTTGTTCAAGCATATGTAATGAACAAACTAGTTTTTAGATAAAAACTGTTAATTTTCTAGAATCTTGAAATTTATTGTGTCTCTTGTTCTTTAATGAGTATTTCAGCTCAAAAGATTTTCTAGGTATATATTATAAATTTGATAATACAAATAAGATAATAGGTAAAAAATGTTTTTTTCCCCCGCATTATGAACAATGTCATTCGGAAGATATAAATCGTTTTAAGAATATCAATGACGTCATCTAAAATATTTATACTCTTGTAACTAATATGAGATTTTTAATGAATGCTACAATAATTTGTCTAAGCTCTAAATGTCAGAATGTCTACGATTTATCAAAAGACAATGAGCGTTACGTGATCTATTCTTTAGGATAAGGGAAATAGACATTCCTGTCATATGTTGATTACACATTTTATAGGTCATTGAATATTATATTTTAATTCTTTCTTGATAAATTAAAAGTCTGATAGGATTTCCTTGGTAAAACTTCTATTAATAAATTTTTCAATTATAAAACATTATATATTGTTATTTAGGTTTTACTTGTTCTATTTATTGTATTTCTATTAATTGATGGTCATTTTTTATTAACATTGGAATTAGAAATAATCGATGGTCATTTTCGTATATGTCATGCAAAAATATGGGCACGACATTTTGTTGGAAAAATTTTTGTTTTTATTGATGCATTAAAATATTCTGCTATACCATTTTGTATTTTACTTATATTAAGTATACTTATAATACAACGAGTCTTTCGTGCTGAAGGTATAAGTGCTCAATTACAAAATCTTCGTCAATTACATAATTATCGTCAATATTCAGCTGGATCTAGTTTAAGTTGTACAACACATACATCAACATTAGCTGTTGGATCAACACAACCAAATTTATTAACAAGTAATACACGTGTTGGCCGACGTGTTACATTTATGCTTTTATCGGTTAGTATTGCATTTTGTGTTTTTTCTGCACCAATGTCACTTATGCAAATTGTACAAAGTATAATCAAACCTGGTTATTATGAAACACCGTTAGCTATTGGAAAAGCAGTTGCTGAATTATGTCAATATGTTAATCATTCATGTAATTTTTTCTTATATGCACTTACAGGACGTGTATTTCGTCGTGAATTTGTTCGATTATTTTTTCCAACACGTTTTGGTGGTAAACGAGGTTTATTAGCTGCTGGTACAGGCATGAATGGAATCGGTCTTAGTGCACGTGCAAATCTACTTCCTCAACCAGTTCCATCATCAAGTCGTCGTGGATCATTTTATTCAATGGATAATAATCGTTATGATGGCAATTTAGATCGATCAACGCGACGTTTAGCAACATTATATCCAATACAATATAAAAACGAAAGACATCAACAATCTAATCGATCATCTCCAGGAAGATCACCATATATATCATCAAATAATAGTCCATTATTAAAAGATAGATTTAATTATTCAACTATTGAAAAATCTTCTATACGAACAATAAGAAATGATGATAATAATAATATTTCATTAACTAATTTTTGGAATATGATTGGTAAAAAAAAAGAATTACAAACAACGAAAGATGATTCATTATTATCTCTTAAAGTATTAAAATTAAATAAACGTGTACCATCAACAGTGTGATATATATATATATCAAAAATGAAAAATTATTATACGACTTATTTTCTTATACAAAATTTTCTTGTTTGTTTTCTTTAAATTATCAAAGAAAATATTAACATAAATGTCTTGTTTTTTTACGACAACGGAAAACAGTGAATATTGACAAAATAGTCTAGGAATAAAAATAACTTTTATATAGAAAAGATGTTTTTGCACATATATATTTTAATTGAAAAGGAAGTAATCGTTAATACAGAAAAAACGATTTCAAGATCTTCAATAAATTGAAGAACTGAAGATGTATTAGACAAATTTTATTGAATAAGTTATTTTCTTAGTAACATATATATGATAGAAATCATGTATTTAAAATAACAGGTAAAAGTAACGTTTTACTGTCATCGTTACTATATTAACATTGTAAACCATGTGAGTAAATAAAATGTCGAAGGACGTAAAATATGATCTGAGTAAAAATACTTTTAGATTGTAAATTTTCCTTTAAACTGATATGGATATTTTATAGTACGTATCCAGTACCACTAATAAAAGCCGTTATGAGGCAGATATGTACAGGTGAAAATGTAAAATGCACTTATGCTTTCTTCATCTCTTATGTATAATAAAACCTCTTAGACGATTGCTTCAATATTTGACATTGTCTAACTCCATTTGTATACTTTTGAAGTATCCGAATAGGACTGCATTCTTTTATAGAAGATATATTACATTGCCGTTTTCTTCATACAAAATGATGTTTTATTCGAAAAAAAAGGAGAATATCTATATCAATAAATATATATATAACTGAAAAAGAACTCACTGTTATTTAGATATTATAAGAGAAATTTCGTGTAGAAAAATAGTCATAATTATGAAAATATAAAAACATCCATTCATGTAATTCTCATTTAAACAAGTGTATGAAAAGCTGAATATTCATTTTGAGTTACGGTTGTTGTCATTAATGGAACTGGTGAATTGTTATCATAGTATAGACTTCCTGAAATATTGAATAATTTATTAAGATTTTATGATTAATAAAATATTACATACTGTTTGATACACTTCTTGGTGAAGGTCGTGCTGCTTGATAACTATACTTTTGTTCTAATGGAGCACGTGGTGGTATTATTGGATCTAAAAATATATTAGATAAAAATTCAAATGATTAGTTATTTTATTGGAAAATATTACGTTCGATATATTGAGAAGTATCTAAAGTTGAACGACGTTTTGGATTATATGTGTCTATTTTTACTACACCTTCATTCCATTGTGAATAACATGAGCGTGTATCCACTGGTGATTCAAAACGAAAACGTATAAAACCGTGAACTGGTGCACGTGAACCTAATTCAAATTCAATTTCCTCATCATTTATTAAACGTATTGTACGAATTGTTGAACGTGGAAATGTATATTGTTTATCATGTCGTTGTTCAAGAATTAATTTATCCGCATCAAATATTAATTCACAATCACTGCCTGGTAAACATAAAACTTCTTGAGTTGCTAAATCAGCAAATTTAACACGATATCGCATTGCTAAATGAAAACGCAAAAAAAATAATATTAATATTTAATCATAAGTTGAAGAAAAAAACGTAGACATATCAATTTTTATTAGGAGAAATTTATTAAATAAGAAAATAAGATTCCGATCTTTCTAGTCTTATTATATCAATATTAATTACTATAAAAAAATGTCGACATTCTTTTATCACGTAAATAAGGATCTTTACTTACCAGAAGCTGATTCATACAACATATTTACAGATGGATTTTCATCTAGACGATCACTATTTGTCATATCCCATCCAGAATTATAAACACCATCAAGAAGTGTTTTCCATTGATTATAGTCATATATATGATCAAAACCAAGACGATGTTTTTTTCCACCAATTTTAAGTATAATTATATCTTTGGGTTCTTTTTTAACAATATTTCCATGTATTGAAGTTATTGAATGTAATCCTTTTAAGTCGATAACTTTACCATTAGGTTCCTGTAGATTATTTCTTGAATGTAATTCAAGTCGATTATGTTGTTTTTCGTCATTGTCAACAAATGATGAAAAGATACAATCATATTCAATCCATTTGTCCTTGAAATTTTATTTATCATAAATAGAAAAGATTTTAAAGAATATGAGAAAAAAAAACGTTTGTAATATACCCAAGAAAATGTACCATGTTTGGAATATTTTAATTGACAACGCTGTCGAATATTACGACGAGTAGATATCATACGATTTTCAAAATTTGCGTTATTCATAAGAGGTGTTATAAGGCACGAGAATCAAAAAAAAACTAACTCACAAATTATATTACAAAAAGGAAGAGAGAAAAATGTATGTGTAAAAGCAAAAAAGTAAATATTATAGCATGTCGTATCTTACATTTTATTCGTTTCTTATTCACCTGTATAAAACGTCAATGAAAACCGTTATATAAAATTTGACATAAGATAAATATAAAGTATATACCTTAACTGAAAAAGTTTAAATTGTATTTTATTGGTATAGAACGTAAATTTGTTTATTGTACATGCATCATAGAACTCTTTCAAATCTAAGCAATACTTATTTTTATTTTCTTTGATTAGCACTATAATATGCACACCTACTTAAAGAAGCTGATATAACCCCTTTTCATTCGATTTTAATTCAAGCAAATATATGTGTTCAATAATATACAGATGAATAGATCGATAAGTGACTATTGATATATTATGGGTTACAAATCCAAGAAAAATAACCTTGAAAATGAAAGAATAATAATACTTCAAATTAAAATTTCATCGAGAATTCTTTTTTTTCTTCTTCGTATTAATCTTGCGCCTTCTTTTTTTATATATCATACTATTACTAAGAAAATCTCTATCAATACAATTGTTTGTATTACTTTTTTCATTAATATTCTTATCATTTTCGTATAATTGATCTAATTCTATTTATATATATATATAATATTACTAATTTCTATGATATGTTTTTATTTGAATTATTAACGATAAAACAATGTTTAATGATCAACAATATATTATTCCTTCTATTTATAAATTAAAAATTAATCGAATCTATATACCAATATCGAAAATTTTTCAAAATATACATATGATGAACAGTTTGGTAAGATTATATTAGAATGTATTATTAATCCCTATGGAAATTATAGGACAAAGAAATACAATCTTCAAATGAAGAGACTAAATTTGACCGACAAAATCTAGTGAGTAGAAAAAAATTATGGAATCTTATTAACGGAAAAAACAAAATATTTACATTCTGATCTGATAGCATATATATTTATTATTATATAAATAACTGTAACGTTTTTTTATCTTAGATTGTTAATATTCCATCGGCAACACAAAGAACAAGATTCAATAAAAAGATTATACAACAATTAACAAAAGTAATAAGAAGAATTTTAATATTTGTGGTATTTAGATGCTAAGTATATCATCAATCAAGCACATTTACTATAATGTACAAATAAATTTCCATAATTATTTCTTTTTTTCGTTACAATGATTATATGATTTAGTTGTGTAATATGATGAGAAGTAATAGAAATAGTTTTTAATCTGACGGTAACGAAGAATTTTTTTGAATATAAAAAATTACATTTAGAATAATCTCAATCCAAAGCTATACGTCATTGTCTTTTTTTTCCTGACAAGTTGATTTAAATAAAATATATATATTTTTCTACGTAGTAATAAACATTAGTAACGATCTTTTTCCTTTCTGTCTGATAATGTAAATTAGTAATTGTGTCTGCTCGTCACATCTGTAAAAACATTTGCTTATCTTTTATTGATAAATTTGATAAATGAGTATTAAGTAAATCATTAATACTATTTATAGGCATTTAATAACGAACAATATCTTGCATCATTATCTATACCTGTTCAAGAACAACAAGTATCAATAGTACCATCATCATCATCTACACAAATTTCAATTGAGCATTTCATGAATAAGAAAAATAAAACAGATCCTACTCTTTCTTCTGTCATACAAATTGAACAATCACTATCTTTACCTCTCACACAACCGATTCCACATTCTATTATTAATAGCAAACCGACAACAAACAGAATTTTTAATGCAACAAATTCAACATATTTTCTACATTCATCAGAATACGTTAGTTTAACACCTGTAATAATTCGATTGAGAAAAGAAAAAAAATACTTCTTTTGTTTTTAAGATTAATTCTTCATCAAAAAAAACTTTAGAATTACTAAATACTAACGATGATAAATCATTCAATCATGTACGCTACTATCAAATCGGCAGTATTTTCACTTCAACAAGCACATTTATTATGCATCAAAATGAAGTTATTGCTCATGCAACTGCTTCTAACCCGTTTCTTTCAGACACTATTTTCATTATTATAATTGCAACTCTCACAATTATTATTCTTCTCTTTTGTTTCGGTTTCTTTTGTCTATGCCGTCGTACAACAAAACGTAATATATCGCCTTCATTTTATGGTAGTAGTTATACAGGGTTACATGGACATTCATTTACAATACCTATTGATGATGATGATTATCATCATCAACAAATTTCAAATCATAAAAATGATATTTCGTCATCGTCTATCCAAACAAAACCATCAATAAATCATCCTTCATTGATGAATGATAGAATACTTTTGCCACAAACAGTTGCTTTACATCATACTGCTAAACAAAAAGCTCAAATAAGTAAAAATAAACTGAAGAAGAAACGAGTTGGATTTTGTTGTTGTACATCGAAAAAAACTAAATCAACAATAGTCAATGCACAAACTCGAATAAAAAGAAATGATATGTAATTGTATTACGAGTATTTATTTGTATTCAAACCAAAAAATAATAATAATAAATAAATCAATGAATAAATAATAAGGTTGTTAATCCTCTTTTTCCGTTGGTTATTTTTAATTCATCTTTCATTTTTGTTTTGTCACATGTCAATCGTATTGATTGAGCTATCTGACATGTGTGACCGTTAAACATCCGGTCGATCCCTCCTCATATTGTGAGCGAGACAAAAGAGCAGAAAATAACTAATACTTTACGCCAGACTTCATTCTTCTTTTTCTCTCTCCCTCTCCCTCACTTTCCTCCTCACACTTCTTCTCTTGTCATCAAACAATAAGATGTCCTTGTTCGCTATGAAGTGATGAGTATATATATATATATACATGTAATAGTAATAAGTGCCACTTGTTATTATACAGAGATCATTCGTATTTTTTTAATTCAAATAAATAAACAATCAATAGAGAATTGCTTACAGTATGGTACATTTACTTTTTTTTCTTCTTCTCTCTTTCCTTGAATTGATTGACAATGTATATGATAGGACTGGGGATGGCGGCCATCTGCTTGCTTCTCCTTACTTAGTTATTCGATTCTTTCTCTTTTCTCTTTGGTGCAAAATGTCAATTGAGCGGTCACAAATATACAAGCTAATGTCAGTTAGATCTGTTCACAATCGATCATCGCTCAGCATGCAACATATAGCAAAATCGATATGTGGACATACAGGATCAGGTGTCTCTCTTTCTCTTCTTTTACCATAAGAAAACTCTGTGACTCCTAAGGGAAATGACAAAGATGAGGACATTATCCTTTTTCCTTCTAACTTTAGCATTTCACTCACTGTCTCTCACACACTCACACACATGTTACTTTAATCGTCAACATGCAAGCATCTAACCTTGACCCTAAACAATCTTCGCTGCATGTACAATGATTTATAACACAATTGTCCACTATGCTCATCAAAAGCAATCACTTTATACTAATCGACTTTTTTTTTTCACACTATCTATTGTCACATCACCTGACCATCTATGTACATATGTCGGTAGAAAATTCTGCTGTGTATGTTATTAAATTTGATGCTCATTACCTATTTGAGAGATCAACTTCACACAAACTAATAATGGTACCAGTCAACAGATGTATATTAAATGCATATACCTATGCATAATCAGTGAATAGATTCATTTATTCATTCATTTTTGCGCTTGTTCGCTCGTGCGCAAGTGCCTTGCGTAATCGTATCATCATCGAACCCAAACAAATATCCTTGATAATACAGGCACACGCATAGGGTTCGTAAAACAAAGTTACAAAGGCGGTCGGATGTACACATCGATGAGGATTATAAAAGCAATGCTTGCCAACTATCACCATACTAAACTCATTACTATTACATCATAAACCCTTATATGTTACTTCAACGGTAAACGTACGTATCTTATTCTTCTCTTTTTTTCTCAGTCTCTCGTCTTTTACTATCATATCATGAAATTGACCCTCGACCGGCCAGCTCTTCTCTGTCTCTCTCTCTATCCCCCGTGTGTAGTCTTTTTTTCAGATGATGATGATGAGCGATGAAAGCAAAGAAGAAAAAAAAGAAGTGGTTAGTTGAGTGCTTATTTAGTTGTTCAATTGAGAAGCCTGTATTCTTAATGGAATTCATCAAGAAGAATGAGACCAGTGAATGAAATTAAACGTGCACAAATTTTGTTTTGTTGTGGCAGACCTTTAAATGAACTCAAAAGAAGAGAAAAAAGGGTTTCATGAACATGAACAAACAAAACCGACAGATAATATTTGGTTCATAATATACTTAGTAGTCTAACAATAGGAAGAAAAAAAAAGTCAAAACAATATAAACAAAAGTGATACTGTAAGCTACAAATTTGTCAATTCTTTTCAAATTCAAAATACTTTCATGAATAACATTTGTTATATTCCTAGTTATTAAAACCATGAAAGAATTTATGATAATCATTACCAATATGATTTATATTTTTATATTAAACTAATCGAGATTTTCACACTAACTTAAGCAGTGAACAGATGGTAGATATAACATGTATGATTTATCCCTCGGAGAGATGTGTGACTAAAAAAGAAATTATCTCACATCATGTCGTGCTTGTTTATTAGATAGAAATAGATAAGAAATGTTGTTATATTTCATTATCGATTATTCCTCATTCTTTAATACTGATATATATAAATATATATATATGTATCTATCATATATACTAGTCAATCAATAAAACGGTTGTATTACGAGAATATGTATAAAGTATAAAAGATTCGTTGTGCTTGCATGCTTTTGTTTTATAGGTAAACAATTCAATAGCAGACGTAGAATTTCTCATGTTCAATGGTGTCTGAACAATCGATAGAAAGAAAAAGAGGGGAGAAAAGAAATACGACACGATGGCGTGTGACGCGACAAACACATACCGATAAAGATGTCTCGTTCGGCCCTGTTCAACGGATCAAGGTGACCCATCCAACAAAATCGAATGAAGGTAGTAATTTGTTCGACACGCGTCTTATTAGATAGTGCATGCATCTATTACACGTAGACACACGCAAACGGATAGTAATAAGATAGAAAAGATGCTCATGTCGACGTTCGTCCATCATCATCATCATAATCATTGGTCTGTGCATGTCTGCTCTCAACAACAGTCAAATATCATGTGTCTGTTCAAAAATGTTCGTACAGACATTAAATAAAACAACTAGTTCGTGATGTGAAAAGAAGATTCTTCGCATCGGTACCTATTTTTTTGTTCGATTGTACTAGATATTTGCCGAGATACGATTTGTGTTCCTAATTAGCTCATTGACACATACCCTTAGCATTTTTCTCTGTGTCTCTCTCCTTTTTTGCTTTACTTGCTTCACATATTCCGAACAGAGAGAGCGAGACAGAGAGAAAGAGAGAGAAGAAAAAAAAGAAAGAATAGAAGTTGAACAAAACGGGCGTCGAGAACGAGTCGGTCGTCGATGTATTTTTTTCTCTTCGCTTCTCTCTCTCTACCTCTCTCTTTCTCTCTTACAAACGAACGATTGTCCAGTTCATCGCCGGTTTAATATACACACATCTTTTTCCTTTCTTATTGGAATATATGATTGTATTTACGTATATGTCATGAAAAATTTTGTTAATGACATATTTAATATTCTATTTTATTTTTCAGATTTATATTTGTTTAGAAAATTTTTCAAATTCATTTTTATCTTCCTATGTATGTCTTCATTACATATCTCAATTCTTTGTACTTTATTGACAATTATATTTGCCGATAATAATAAAACATTTTATTTTACAAAATCCAATTATGACTTATGGTGTCAAGAAAATATTTTATCGAATTCATTATTTCTTTATTCAAATCGAATACCAATCGGAATCTATCGTACATCAAATATAAAATCTGTTACTTATCAACTTATCGATGATAATAATAATGGTTTATTTGAAATAAAAAGCAAACGTTTAGCTGATTTTTATTTTCTTATTATTAATATAACACGTCCATTTGATATTAATCGTGAATATCAAGATGTTTATAAACTACGTATTCAGGCAAATATTGTAACGACACAAGAAAATCAAAGTGAACAGACAGAAGTAAGAGTTTTATTTTATCATAGTTGTAAAACTTGTCTTTGTTCTCTAAATAGGTTCGTCTACATGTTGCTGATTCAAATGATAATGATGGAGTATTTGATATGGATATCTACGAACAAAATTTTACTCAACCTATCGAAATTGCTCAACCACTCTTACGTCTTCATGCTAGTGATGCTGATGAAATTCAACATGCACAAATTTTTTATGAATTAGCATCATCATTAAATGAAACATTTTCTCTTCATCCATTTACTGGTGATTTATATATAACCACAAAAGAAAATTTAAAATCAACTTATGAATTTGATGTCTATGCTTATGATCGTTATCAAAAACGTCTTGTTGATAATAATATGAAAACTAAAACACATGTTAAATTACATTTTAATCAAACGAAATTTCAATTGGAAAAATTTCAAACATTATCTAATCAAACAATTGAATATCGTGAACTTATATCATCCTATGATATACATATATATGAAAGAAAAACATTTCATTTATTAAATATTCATCAACCAATATTAACTATTGATATAAAACCAAATGAAAAATCTTATGAAATATTTTTCTTATTGAATTCATCGTTAAATACACAAAATTTATTTCTTAATCAAAATAATATTTATTTGAATAAATATCTTATTGAAGAATATAATCTACAATTAATGATATGTTTTAATAATTACAATCAATGTCAATATACAAATTATCGTTTAATACCATTAATTGATTTTAATTTTTATAATTTTCATTTTAAATCAATTGAAAATATTTATCTAGATGATAATTTACCTGTTGATTCATTTATAACACATATTCAACTGGATTATAAAAATCTTTATCAAGAACAATCGTTAATAATTAATTATAAATTATTAAATGATGAAAAAGATTTTCGATTTTATTTGGATTCAAAAACGGGTATTTTACGTCTCGCGGAACGTTTAGAATATCGAAATTATTCGCTTGATATACAAGCAAATATACAATTATTTAATCGGAAATATTCGATTGAAACAACGGTTAATATTAATGTTAAAGAAATCAATAAACATCGACCAATATTTCGAAATAATACATCAAATGAATTAGTTCAATTACCTTATCAATTTCAAGCATTTGATTTAGATCAAAATAAACAAACAAATGGACGTATAACATATCGTTTATGGAATTGTGAAACTTCTTGTCCATTTAGTATTGATCCAAATAATGGAACATTAATTTTAGTTAATAAAGAAGATTTTATTAAAAATAAGATTTATAATTTACAAATTATTGCTTTTGATTGGGGTCAACCAATAAGTTTGGAAAGTAGTATTGATATTCGTGTGAATTTATCACCAAGATTCAATAGAAGAGATTTAGGAAGAACAAGAGCATATTCAAGAAGATGGAGAAAAAAAATAACAGCAAACTTATTAACAACGACAATGAATACAATGGTTACAGAAAAAAGGTTAGATTCAATTAGGAAAACTTTCGAAATGAAGAGTAGTTATTAGAACAAAGAAAAACCACTTGTGATTTATTTGAGGTACAAAAACAATTTTCTTTGTCATGAAATATGAACTGTATAACATCTTAAACAAGAAAAACATGTTCTCTATCGATGTTTCTCATACCAGATGAGCATTTGTTTATTTGTATAATACATACTCGAAGTATACTAGATTAACCTCCGGTCACAATATTCCTATCAACTTTCCCATATTATTTATCTCTTCTTATTCATAATTAAATCTATTAATCTTATTTTCTAGTTCATATACAACAAATCTACCGTTAAATATCGATACAATCAATTTAAATATTGGTTTTCGTGAAAATTTTACTTCATATTATTTATCTGAAGATACCGAAATCAATCACATAATTGATTATTTAAAAATTGAATATGATTCATTTCCTATAAATATAAATAATGACCAAGACAATCTTTTTTTCTATACAATTAATGATACAAATGTACCATTTACAATTGATCAAAATACTAAATCATTAAAATTAATCGATAAAATTGATCGTGAAAAACAAGATAAATATATATTCGAAATCGAATTAAAATTAAAATCCATTTATTCAATAAAATTACAAGAACAATATTCTTGTCAAAAAACAAATATCTCAATGATTAATTTTCAATATACAAAAAATTATTATCAAAAAATTTTAATTATTATTCATATTAACGATATTAATGATAATATTCCAATATGTTCAAATTTTCATGCAAATATTCAATTGAATGAAAATGAATTACGAAAAAATATTTTTCAAATACAAGCTTATGATCTTGATTTAGGTAATTAAATTTGAACGAAAAAAAAGTATATTTATTTTTTTTTCTCTACTAGGTGAAAATGGAACAATAAGTTATTCTTTATTTGATTATAATCAATATTTTTTTATAAATTCCTCAACTGGACAAATTGATTGTATTAAATCAATTGATTATGAAGAATACTCTTTTATTGAATTACATATAATTGCATCAGATCATGGTATTCAACCAAAATTTCAATCAATCTGTACAACCCTACATATTCAAATCAATGATATAAATGATAATACTCCACAATTTTTTTCAATGAATTATATTTTTAATGTTTTTTTCGATATGCCACGTTATTCAATATTTGGACAAATTTATGCATTTGATTCAGATAGAAATAATCAATTGATTTATTCACTTAGCCCAAATCCATATATAATAATAAATAAACATACAGGTTATCTTCGTTTAAAACATAATTTACATCGTTTAATTGATCAAATTCTTAATGTAACAGTTGAAGTTACGGATGGTTTATATAAAAATACAACAACAGTTCATATTTATGTTAAATCATTTCCTGATGCACAACAGCCAATACTTTTAGCTGAACCAGGATATGGTTTAACAATAAATGAATCGTTAAATGTAGGATCGGTAGTGACAAATATTTATCGTCGATTACAAATAATTGCATCAACAATTGATTTCATTGAAATAATTCATGATGAAATGAATTTACCATTTTCAATTGATCAACTAGGTAAGATGACTTTTTCTCTTTTGTCTTTATTCTCAATCAAAAAAGGATTTAGGAAATTTAATACACATTGAGACTTATAAGAAATGATTTTTATAGACTAATAAGTCTCATTTGTCAATTGTTTAGTTTATTCTTTTCTTTCATATTATATTCTCATTTATTCCTATAAGCTTACATCATAACAATGCTCATATATATATATATATTTGTCGTCTCAATATAATGAAACGACAATTAGAATGTCTGCATGCATGCGCGTGACCGATGGTGGACATCATTATACAGTCAATTCCAATTTCCTTTTCTTTAATCCCTTGTGGTGATGCGCGTGGTGACCGATGTCGGCTATGTCGGTTTGATGCATGTCTGAAAGAGATTGGTGCTGTTGTTGTTTTACATGTCATCAATCGATTTGTATTGTGAGAATAACAGCTGCTTCTGTTTCTCACTCATTCATTTATTTTACTGAGTTATTCTTCATCAGACACTAATTACCCATCGAACTCATTCTCTAATCGATAGATGATAAGAAATAGTCATTATATACATGTTTTAAGAGAACACATGTTCATCAAAAAAAGAAAATGCAGAAAAATAAACTTTATCGAGGACATCTGTTCAATGGGTAGATCAATCTAAAGAAGAATTATTATTTAAGATAATAATTCAATTAATTGAATTTTCCGAAAAAGAAAATATTTGTTTTGTTTAATTAAATCCTCTGAATGTCAAATGATTCAAATTACATTATCAATAAATGATAATCTAGCGACTACTACTAGACAATTTTGATTGATATGATCAGATGACGCCTAATAGAATGAATAGAACTTGTCAAGCAAATAAGGTCATCTCATGATTAAAATCATTGGATGATTCTTTAAGTGACCTTTCGAGAGAGAGCAGAAACAAAAAAAATATGTAAACGCGGACATGATTTGTTTTTCTAATAAACTAATTTTTCTTAGCAAATCCGAAAAAAAAAGAATTTTGAAATTTGTTTTAATGCTTTGTCTAATAATGTATTTAAATTAATATTGACAGCTAATATAAATATCGAATTAGAAAGAGGCGGAAGTGTGTTTTCCAAAGGGAAAACAGTCAATTTTAATTATGTAATGGACAAAGTTTATAAAGATTGACATCTTATATTTTATGATTGTAATATAAATGAATTAAAAGAAAATATTGAGTTGTTAATATTTTTATGAGTAATGATAATAATAAGTAATCTAAATCTTGATTGTCTGTTTAAATGATACATATAAAATGTTTAATGCGAATTATAATCACAAAAGATCGAACATTTTGTTATGAAAGAGATATAAATCATCATTGATGTGTATTTGTATATATGTATTGGTTTTTTAAGGTTATCTTCGTCTAACTCATCCTTTAATCGGTTTATCAAAATCATCATATTGGCTTGCAATACGTCTAACACGCTATCGTGCTCATCCACCGCATACATTTGTTCATATTCATCTATCAATTCGACAAGAAAATTTTTATCTTCCACAATGTGTCAATATTTATCAAAATGTCAAAGTATATGATTATTCAACTCAACATCCATTTGCTCGTGTTGAAGCTATATCATTAAATAAAAATTCACTTCTTCAATATTCAATTAATGATAATGATCAATATGAAAAAATCTTTTCCATTGATCAACGAACTGGTTTTCTTAATTTATTACCATCAGTTTCAAATAATCGTCGATTAAAATCAGATTATCTTTTAGCAGTAAAAACATTCGATATTCAATATAAATTTTCTGTTAACTGTTATGTTAATATTCATCTTATTCGTCGACGTCAATTAATACCAAAATTTATTTATTCACCAAATTATAATATTAATTCGTATGAAATTGAACGGAATAGTGGAAGATTAAGACAACGTTTATTTCAAATTATTGCATTATTAGATAATAAAGTTTATGATAAAAAACTTGAAATACGATATCGAATTGCTGATACAAATCAACATTTTATTATTAATCGACAAACAGGATATGTTGCTGCGAAACAACCATTAAAAGCTTATACAACATATGAATTTAATGTAAGAATTTTTTATAAATAATAATCCGTTTACTGTAAAATGAGCTTTGTAAAGAGTCTGTCATGTTATGTATAAATGTATTATAGTTTATTGATTTGACAAGTCTTTTAATGAGAATTAATTCTTTTGTTTTAAACTAATATTTCTTAACATCCCTAAGCGTTGTTCGTTAATCTAATTGCGAAAAACTTTGAAGTCATATCAGACTGTAATTTGATGTAATCGAATACTTTTATTCTAAATATATCTCTATATGAAAATCAAATTTCGAGTGACTATCTGATGTTGCAATAGTAATTCATTTTATGACCCATCCCTATACTTCTTCAGATGTATATCAATAAAACATATTGATTGCACTCATAATAAAGCGGTCTTATCCGTATTTGTTCTCTGTAGAAGAAAAAAAGTTGCAACGGTAATAATTAGCTATATCTGACCGTTATATATCTTAGCTGTAACAATATAATTCCTATGATTGAAGGAAAGTCTTAAATACATAATACTTACGTATATCTGACTACGTTAAATTTCATACAATCTAATATCTTATATTTTCAACATATTGATTATTTAGGTTGAAGCATTTACTGTTGCACATCGTGATGATATATTATCAGATGGAAATGAAAATGAAGATGACGAACAACATACTAATCGAGGTAAATGGCGTATAGTTTCATCTCGTGTATCATTACCGATAAAAATTCAAATTTTACCAATGATATCTGCCAATCAATCATTATCACCTACAATTGATTCAACAATAAATACAGATTTACTGACAACAACTGAAGTTGGTTCAACAATTTTACAACTTGGAATAAATAATCGATTGAATAATACTCAATGGTTTGTTATGATTGGACATATACGTAATACACGATATTTTCATGTGGATTTTCAAACTGGTCAATTGATTCTTATTCGTCCTATTGTTGAACTACTAAATCAAACCAATATAATTGAACTTCATATTAATGTAACAAATGATTGGATTAATATGAATACAATTAAAGTTATTATACGAATTATAAATAATCAAATTCCATCAATTGAATTTCCTCAAAATGATTATTATACATCTATATCAAAAAATATTCCACTTGGTGCCGAAATAGCACGTTTAACAATTGATAATTCAGTTAATGATTGTACATATTCGATCGATACAGTTGAAAAAATCAAATCAAAAGATTTATTTCGTATTGATTCATTTTCAGGTTCCGTAACTGTTATTAATTCATTAGAAAATTCTTCAAGTCAAACACATTTATTAACAATTATTTATCGTTGTCAACATAATTATCATATAGCACATACAAATTTACATATTCAAATACTTGATGAAAAGAATTTATTAAATAAAACAACGAATTCATATAGATTTAGTCAAGACAATTATTTAATTATATTTGAAACATCATTAATTAAAAATCGAAGAAAATATTTAATGAATTTTGAATTGATTAGTAATGATGATGAAGAAAAACGAAGAATACCGAATGCAAAAATTCTACAAGGTAAATTTTGTGGATTTATAGGAACTTTCAGAGCAATGAAAATGACCTAAGATGGGTGTGAGTGTACTGCTTGCTAGGGTCCGATGGGGGCGGGATCAGAATCTCGACTTTTATCTCCACGGGGCGGGTATTCCTGTTAAACACGGGATAGAGACTACAAAATCCCGAGTAAATACATTAATGGGTTTTAAGTCTAGATAAATTGTATTCACAGAAAATGGTAACGACATCGAAAATCTCGAACAAATATTTTACCGCGACCGGGATCGGGATGAAAAAACTCGATCTCGTTGGACCCTGTTGCTTGCCTCCAATCATTTAAATACCAAAATTAGCGAGAAAATGTCTTTGCGAGCGACTGTCTTAAAACCCTACTTTTTCATCTCTCGTTGTCTTGCAGTTCTGATAAACTTTATTGTTTGTAAAAGCAATCATATTTTCAACTCATTACTAATATGTTAATATCTGTTTTAGGTGATCCATTAGGTTTATTTTCAATCGATTCATCTAATCAATCCCTTATTTTTCTTGATGAATCACTTGCTCGGTCATATACTTATCCATTAAATTTAACTATTATCGATGTATCACAAATGGATACAATTACTTCTATTGTAACAATATTTATATCTAATATTGGTATTTATTTTCCATGCCCATCATATGTTAAAACATCTCCATATCTTTTTACATATGAATCTTTACCTTTGAAAAGTATTGATCCACTTACTGGTCAACAATATAAATCATATAATTCCTTAATTGTTCGTGCCTTTGATCCATTTACACCGATTAATGGTGAAGCATCAAATCTTGCTGAATGTATTATTGATAATGATAATAATATTTCTCAAAATCTTTCAATAAAAAATCTTGATTTTATATTTGAAAATGAAAATTATTTTGGTTATATAAATGATTCATTTGGTTCATCATCATTTATATATACTGATCAACAAACTCCATTACATATTCAATTAAAAACTTCATTTAATCTACTTGATACAACTTATCATTTATTAAATGAAACACATCGTAATTATTTCCAATTAGATGAATATGCTGGTTTAATGAAATATAATTCATTAGAAAATTTACAAAATAAATATTCATTTCTTATTTATGCAAAATATCAATCTTTAATAACATTTACACGTATAAATCTTTTTATTAATCATAAAGTTATATTAAAAAAACCTACATATCAATCTATATATGAATTTAAATTATATACACCATTTGTAAATAATTCTACAATTGGATATATCAATATATCAAATAAAAATTTAACAATTTTAAATGAAAATATTTTACCTATGATATCAATTGATGGGTTAGGTAGATTATTTATTAAAAATCGAACATTAATATTAACAAGTGGAAATTTTTATGATTTTCTTATGCAAGATGAAGATTTAAAAATTATTCGAATACAACTTCTTGTTATAAATGATTTAAATCAAATATCTGAATGTATATTAAATCGTTTGGATTATTCTATTGATCAACAATTCATTGGATTTGTTAATATAATAAATAGAAATCGAACAAATATAAATTGTTATCAATCAATAAATCAATCATTTTATCTTTTAAATTATAATGAATTATTTTTACTTGATCGTCAACATGGTTTATTATATTATCGAAATCCAAATCAAACTATTAATGAAGATGTAGTACTTCTAATTCAAACGGATAATTCAAAATGTTTAATTACATTTGAAAAACCAATATCAAATATTTCTTATATAATGATTAGAAATGGAAGTCAATTACAAATAGATTTGAACGAAAAATATAATATTCAAAAGGTAATAGATAGTTATATACGTACTTATGTCTTATATTTAACTGAGCAATAATGGAATTTAGAGTGTGGAAGTTCGGAAAAAGAGAAATGTCCCAGTGTTTTATCTAGGTTTCGTTTTTCGGATCAGACAGTAGAAGCTTAGGGTGGGCGGTGTTCATCCAGCGCCTACCCAGACCATCTTAAAATATACAGCTACTGTATTTTTTCGGATGGGTAGACCGAATTTTAGCGTGGGCGGCGCTCACGCAGCTCACCCGCTGGATAAAACAATGAAACATTCACATCTGGGCTAATTCGCATATCTAACTACGCCTATAACCACTATTCAGACTTACACGTTGGTATTTTTATTGCCCAAATAAATACTAGCCATATTATATTGACTCCTATTAAGATTATGGTGGTGAACTATATAGATTATAAAGATAAGAAAGTTTATTGAATCATAATGAATGAGATAAATAGAAGTGATCTCGTTATCGCTAGTTATAGCTAATAAATAATTGATGATTCCTACACGAGATATTCTTTCGGTAGATAAAAGAATTCGTGCTTGACGAAATGATTTTCCATCTAGAGAGTTTGTCTACAATATTATAATAAAAAGCAGACAGAAAGACTTTATATCTTGCAAATCACAATATAATTATACACTTATCAATTATTAAAAGTTCTACTTATTCATAAACTATTTCTTTTCTTCTAGTCTTCCGGTCAATTAAAATTAATTAACGGTACATTATTTAATTACGATATAATTCCATTTCAATCACCAATATTTTCTCAAAAATCTTATGATTTCTCTCTAAATCTAACAAATCCTATTAATCATTCAATATTCATTGGCCAAATATCAGCAGAACCATTTGATAAAAATCGTAGTCATGTTGTTTATCAATTTCTTAATCGGAATAAATATTATCTTATTAATCCCGATAATGGTATTATTGAATATATATCCAATGAATATTATAATAAAACATTAGAACAATTTCAAATCCTTGCACGTGATTTAATCTACGGACAAAATACAACAATTAATATAACAATTCATATAAGAAAATCTGATGAAATTTCATTCTCATCATTAATTTATGAAAAAAACATATCAGAAATTCTTCCACCTGGATCATTAATTATTCAATCGAATTTTTCTACATTACGCGATTATAATTCTAATCTATTTGAAAAAAATCCTATCACCGGAGAAATTATTTTAATGAATTATTTATCCGACAAATTTTATTCATTTAAACTTCAAACATTAAAACAAATCTCAATTATTAAATTAATCGTCAATGATTATAATAGTCATTATCCTCAATTTCAAAATCCACCAATAAATCTATCTTTATCAGCATCCCAAACATTTATTACAAAACTATCTGCTAACGATCTTGATTTAAATGATAATCGAAATCTTAAATATTATCTTCTTGATAAAGATCAAGAAAAATATTTTTCAATTAATTCAACAAATGGAATCATTACAATGAATAATTCCTCATTAAATAAAAATTTTTATCAATTAAATATCGGCGTTAGTGATGGATTATATTTAACAAAAACATATTTTCAAATACAATTAAATAATTATTCAAAAAATTCTCCGAAATTTTCTTCAAATGAATACATATTTCAATATGATCAAACTAAAGATGTATTCGGACAAATAATTGCGTATGATTTAGATATTAACGATCAAATATTCTATGATCTCTATCTTCAACCACATGGCGTTGAAATAAATAAATCATCAGGGTTAATAAAAATCCCTAAAACGTTATTTCTTAAACCAATTATCGAATTTTATGCATCAGCTACTGATTTATCTAATCAAATAGTTTATACGAAAATCAAACTTATCTATTCGATTCAACCGAAATTTAATTCAAATTTATATTTTATATCTTTATTAACATCGAATATGATGATCCCATTGGAAATATTTCAATTTGATATTGTTGATTTATTTAATCAATCGTTAAAATCAGCTAAATATCAATTAAAAAACCAAACCAATTTATTTGAAATGAATGACAATAAATTAATCTTAAAAGAATATCTTCTTCCAACGGATAAATATTATTTGAATGTAAATGCTTATTGGAAAAATTTTATTATTCAAACATCAATACAAATAAATTTTGTGGAAAAATTTATTCATTTGGAAAAGAAATCTTATGAATTTCAATTAGAAAAATCTTCGTTAAAAAAAGATTTTTTTATTGAAAAATTTTCAATTGAAAATAATTTTCGGTTAAAAATTTCTTCAACGCCGTTAACAAGAAATGATTGTCATGATAATTTTTATATTAAATCAAATGAATTAATTTTTTCCAATTTTCCAGTATTATCTGATATATGTTTCTTTGAATTACATTTAACGGATAATACTAGTATATCAACAAGTCAAGTTAAAATTTTATTTATGGAATCAAATATTCAACCAAAATTTTCATCGAAAATTTATTATTTTTATGTCAAAAATAATGATGATTATACAAAAAATATTTTTCGAGTTTTTGCTAATAGTTCAAATTCAATTCGATACAAATTAGAAAATAATTCCTATGGTTTATTTATAAATTCAAATGATGGAACATTAAAATTTCAATATAATCTAGATTTTATGAAAGATATTGATCGAATATATTTAAATGTTTATGCAATTGATGATAAAAACAATGTCAATGATACGGCTTTGATTGATATATCATTTAATGAAAGAAAACAATTTGAATTGCCAAAGAATTATTCACAAATAGAATTATGTCCAAATATACCTATCTTACTTTCTGATCAAAGTTTACCTGGTAAGAAAAATTTTGAATATATGAATTTGATCTTAGATTTATATGAAATTATCATCGAGAATAAATCAACTAAACCCCCTCCCCTGTAATAAAAGGCCCCTCGAAAGCAAAAGTCGG